ATATATTATATATATATTATATATATATATATATATATATATATATATTATGTATATATGTGTGTGTGTGTGTGTGTGTGTGTGTGTGTGTGTTTATGTATATATACTTTCTTTTATTTATTGCTATTCATAGATTCAATTATTTTTCTCCTTTTCTTAACAGTCAAGAGGGATATATGAGACCCCAGGCTTGACAATACTCCGGGCTGCACATCTGGACCTCGAGGCTCTGTGCCTTGACCGTGAAGTGAGGAAAATAAAAGCTTATCTTAGCACTCGTATGTCTGAAATGGTATACAATGGTAAGTTAGTCCCAGTAGTCATTTCCAGTTTTTTGAGTATGATTTTGTTCTTTCTTTCTTTCTTTCTTTTTCTTTCTTTTTCAAAGCTCATAGATATTGTTTTGTGTTATGATTATTATTTTCTGGGATAGCAGCTTAGTTCTGTACTTTGCTGAAGCAGTACAGAGAAAAATCAGTATATTATCTTTGAACATTGTAACTCAGCAAATCAGAATGAAGCTTGGAGAATTATATAAGTACCTTTTTCCAGGGTTGTGGTACAGTCCTGAGTTCGAGTTCACAAGGCACTGTATCAGCCAGTCCCAGAAGCAGGTTACTGGCAGTGTTACTCTGAAGGTTTACAAGGGCAATGGTATGTTGATATCATATTCTAAATTCCTTTTGCATTTAAAGTCAAGTGAAAGGCTTAATTGATGTGACATTGTGGACATTTGTATGTTAATTTGCTTGGAATGATCAAAGTTAGCAATGTTTTACTGTGGTATTATGTACAGTTTGATTTTTATTTTGTGGGCCCACATAACAACTTACTAATATTACTTTATCGCCATTCTCAGTGTATGTGTTGGGCAGGAGTGCTCCAGTGTCCCTGTACAATCAAGAGTTGGTTTCTATGGATGTCCAGGGAGACTATGAGCCAGGGGATGCCCATGGCTTTATCAAAATCAATGCAGTTCGTCTCCGAGAACACGAGCGAGTGAAGCAGATTGCCAAGAGTACCTAAGAGGAAAGAGGAATTGGTGTGTTGTATCTTCATATAATTCACCTTAGTTCAAGTCAGCAGAAAATATGCTAGAGACTAATTATACAATGTAATCGGTGGAACAGTAACACAATAACTTACAGAAACGCATGGTGATGGGGATTTTCAATAGGAAAGTCTGAGATTTTTGTAATTAAAGCATTGTCAGAAAGATCAGAATTATAGGCTGAAAAGGGAAAAATAGAGCATTGCAATATTCAGCAATGATCAGTACTGAAACTATGATTTCTGCCAATTAGCTATATAAATCAATACTGTACATATGCAAGATTCATCTGTATTTTTATACATGCAACAGAACAAGAATTTGATGGAGAAGTGCCAAAGTGATTTTTATTACAGTCTGAGGGAAATAAAATAGAGTGTACCGTTTTTTTTCCTCATTCCCTTATTATTCCATTACAGCAGTTTGAAGCTGACATAATATGTGTTTGTAAAATAAGGCTTAAAAGAGTGAATTTAGATATATTGTTAAGTTTATGAAGGGTCAGTGATCTGCCTTCAGAAACTGCAGTCTTACCTTTATACGTTCTATGCATCAGTAATAGAATTGTAAAATATGATATTCTGCAGTACATTTTTTTTTTATTATTATTATTTTTGTGCTCTCTA